AATAAATTTTTACAGGCTGAATGTACCTCTTTTTGTTTGGCAGATAAAAAATGTGAACTTACTCTTTCGATGGCCCTCGTGTCAACATTAATCTCGAATAGGTCGCTAAACCATGAACAAATTTTAACTTGCGAATATATATCTACGAAGGCAAACTACGCGTAAAGCATGATGCGCACATTGAAAACACGAAAAAGTAACTTAGAAACCACGAAATACGCATTTCGAACTACGAAACTCTCCCGCAAATTGAAAACGCCCCTGTTTCGCGTTGGTCCGAATGACATAGAACACCTAAAAATTTTGAACAAAACCAAAGTTATGACATTTATGAAATTAGTGGTTTAGAAGAACGTTGTTTTGCGGGGATGCAATTCTCAAATAGATGAAATGTGAGCATCACTAATTTATAAGTTAATTGTCGCTCCCCTGACGTAAGGGCGTATCTTTATTCCCACAAAAGCCCCGGCAAGTACAAAGGTATACGGAGAACAGGGCTCACATGAAAATTGAGATACGGGCTTATGTCAGAACAGCAACGAAATGTAGAGGAAACTACGGTATGTATACTAACGCAATAGATTATGTCACTTACCAATTTTTTTTTCTTTTTTTTATGAGCGATATCTCTTATTACCTATGGATATTATTTTTTCGTCTGGTTTTTCTTGATTTCTGAGTTAGACTATGTACATTTCGGAATTTTCTCCCTTCTTCAGGCCAAAATTTTGGGCCAAAAAAGAGTGCTAGACAACTATCAAAATTTTGACCTGAGGATTGGAGGAAATTCCGAAATATACACAGCATAACTCAGAAATCAAGAGAAATCATACGAAAAAATAATATTCATGTAATAATAATCCACTCGGTAAAATGATAAAACCATACAATCTAGCGATATCTCTGTTAACATTGGAGATATAGAAACTGCCTCGTATAAAAGGTGCATGTATGGATCGTATTATTTTTTGTTGATCCACAAACTTAAACTAGGAAAGAGCAATTCTGTAACCAGAGTGCAACCAATCCATTGATCAATTTGTCTACTGGCGTCAAGCTTACCTTGTTGAAAATTTTGTGGTAAATCAAGGATACAATTCTGAACCTCTTCGCCATGGTAGCTGAGAGAGCAGTAAGTGCTAAAATGGAGTATTGGGAAAACGGGCTCAGAAGCGCCTGACCGGAAAATTTTATTGAAATAAGCATCCGTTCTATGTCAAATTGCCACTGATCATCCGAAAGACTCCTAAAAATCGTTTCGATGATAAAAAATCGACTGATTTCATTTCAATTGCGTAAAAATGATATTTTTTATTTCCATGTTAGGCTAGTGATGGGCAAGACAGCAGTAAGTGCTGTCTTCTGCATGCTTTCGTGATTGCATTTTGGACTCACAACAAACACATTTTCAGGTCAGAAGTCGGCAGAAGAGGGCAGCACTTTACTTAAAAGGACTTTTTTCATTGGCTCTCTGGAGGAATAATGTCACTCACGACTGCTTTGCCTGAAACTACGTTTAGCGCACTCACGGCTTTCTCATACGTCTCGTTTTTATGCGACCGCATAAGACGGAGTTTTGAATTGGAACTTAGAATACGGATCCAGCACAACTTCTTGCCCTGTCTTTCAAAGAAATGTCTTAAAAAAAACATTTTTTCCTTTGAAAATTTGCTCCTGTCATACCGCGTTCGGGGCACTCTGAGAACCTCAGGCGCTTATGATACACAATTACATCAACTTCAATCGATATATATTCATATTTCTACATTTGTGTTCTAAATAAGATATTATTTCGGTACGTAAATACACCTTGTTATTTCGAGACTTTTCCTGACTCAAGTCGGTGAAGTGGCGCTTGTGATACTTTAGCCGAAAGGGACGATTTTAATTGTTGCATCATGAATAATAATTCTGGAGAGCATTTCGATTGCTGGTAATTTTTTTTTAACCAATGTCGTTACTGGAAGAACCCATTGGATATTTTTCTTTGCCGATTAAATTCTTTAATTATTACGTATTTATTATTTTGATTCTAGCAAATCTCGATTTAAAAAACTAACCTCTGTTTACACCTGCAAGGCGTGAAACCTTATACGTTGAATATTCCGCTTGCGTTCTGCTTCCAAATAATTCGTATAAATCGTGTTGGTGTACTGTATGTATATGTTCCGCCATTGATGACTTCCGTACTTCATTAGCCACCATGAGCAACATTTAGGTTAACCCATAGAAATTCGGTTACTATGGTTTCGTATGGGACTTTCAAGGCGCTTTCAGATCGCCCTTGAAATTTCTAATAGTGTTTCTTTTGAAATTACACATAGTTTTTCTGTAGAAATTTCACGTGAAATTTTATTAAAACTCCAAGAAGTTTCTGAAATTTCATTGAAAATAGCCTGAAATTTCAAATTATAGACATTTCACAGGAAAATTTCATAAAATTTCACGTGAAATTTCATCCTTGAAATTTCAAATTTTTATTTTTCATGAAATTTTCCATCTCAAGTTCAGACAGGCTGGCAAGCCGCTCTATGGGTTGCATTCCAAACATGTAATCACTTCTCCAAAATTCCGCACAGCTATCGCAAATTGCATTGATCTTCTGAAGCTTGAGATGTCGTTTGAACGCGCCTTCACTGTTCCCCGATTTTCATTCAATTTTGAACGGATTATTTCAAATTGTGTGTCCAGACATAAAACTTAGGTAAATACCCTTGAACTGAATTTACGATGATATTACTTAAGGCGCATATCGACGGTGAAACTACCAAACCACGTATCTCGTTTGCGGTGTTTAAAAATCTACGCTCACATTTTATTTTTTTTTAAGTAGACCAAATCAATATCATTCCTTGAAATTTTCACAGAATTTTCTCCGCGCGAAGAGGAAAAATCACAGAAATTTTCAAGACTGGACGTTAAGTAGTTTTTCGTTCAGAAAATAAAGCATGACAGGAAGTCTGCGACGTCGCAAACCGAGATACGTGGTTTGGTAGTTTCACCGTCGATATGCTTCGTCGAAAAACTCAGAACAAAAGCATAGAACTGAATGTTATCATATAAAATATATTCTCACGGCGCGCTTTTGGAATTCTCTGCTGGTTGTACTTCATGGTTTATAATGCTTCACGGACGGACTGCAATCATTAGGAGAAAAAGCTGCATATTTTGAAATAATTTGGATGCACAAATACGAAGTATTCATAATGGGCCTGTCGCAAACTTTTGCTAGAGCAAAAATAGGAGCTGCTTCTATCAGAAAATGTCTCAAAAATGACTGTACGCGCATTGGCAAAGTGTGAAATGCACTCCTAACTTCACAATCTGCGTCAGAAATTTGCATTTTTTTTAGCTACCCGCTTCAATCCGATACTACGGTGCAGGTGAACATTTCGTTAAAGGTGTCGTTCTATCCAACCCATGTCCACTAGGATCCTGAACAATATTCAACATGGCCGATACCAATCCGCCAATGCCCATGTGGCTGGACGAGATTTTAACAAATTTGTTAACAACCTAGCGTGTTTACATTCACGATTTCTTCGCGTTGATAAAGTTCCGCTTTGGTTGACCTCGTGCTCCCGATTGCGATTTGCGCGCAGAAGCGTCGGCCATGTTGAGTATTACTGTTGCGAAAGGGTAAGGTGGAACGACTCCTCTAACGAAATGTTCACCTGTGCTTTAGTATCGTTTTTGAAGCGGGATGCTCAAAAATCAGCAAATTTCTTACGTAGATTTTGAAGTTAGGAGTGCATTTCAAACTTTGCCGATACGCTCATCGTGATTTTTGAAACATGTACTGATAGCAATTACTCTTATTTTTGTTCTAGCAAAAGTTTGCAACATTAACAAGGGAGGCTACCTACGCTACGCTTTCTGACCACTTCTTGGTCCAACTTCCCGAAGCGCTTCGGACCTTTGGCGTTATGTGTTAGACGTCACTCTTGTGACTTTATATTATGGATGAAAGTATGATATGAGCCATGTAGAAAATCACATTAACTATTTCTCGACTTCCATGGATGATCTAGCTTTTTCAAAAATGAAAAAAAGTGAGAGCAGACAACATATGTAGCATTTATTTTCGTTTTCAAAAAAATCTTGGACTCTCTCTCAGGTAATTAGGTATAAACGCGTTCCACATCTACATGCCTATCAACTCGTCATAAGAATAGTAGGAGACCCGACGATATAAAGTCTAGGATCACCAGAAATGAGATTAAAAAACGATGCATTGCGAAAAAGAATATTTATGTTCTAAATCCAATTAATTCTTTATGCGTCTTTAAAAAGTTCCTCAACTCAAACGAAGCACATACATTTTATCATGTTTTTTTTTTAAATTTGTTGTCGGACTGCGTGCTGCATTTGCTCATAAAATATAAAAAGTAAAAGGGAGGATGAGGGGCCCAGGCCTTATCAGTTGCATTCTTTGGTAACTAAAACGTCAAAATCAAATAAGATAATTTTCAAAGTTTAGGGAGTGTGACTTATTTTTTAAAGCCATATCATTGAAAATGTATACGTCTTGCAGTTGAATTGAGAGCATTTTTGTTTCCCCTATCGTATTCCCCTTTAAGTTTTCAGTGGTTATTCCCAAAGATCGAAACACATATTACTAAAAACTACCAAATGTTATATAAACGTTTGTATTGCATATTCGACTAGGAAACATTTTGTAAGACTGCAAAAAGGGTACTCTACCTAGTTGGGAGTAAGTATTTTAAAACTTGATTTTATATTTATTTGCATTCCTCAAATTGAATATAAAAATAACCACAAACTATGAGGGATGCTTGACTTAATTCACTTATCATATAATATGTATTAAACCTAAGATTTTGATACAGTAACTGCTTATCACAGGTATTTTCTACGAACATAACTTCTAAAAGAAAAAGGAGAGCACATTTTTTATTTACCAAAGAAGGTTACTGGAATCATGAGGATCCCTATCCATTTTTCATTGAATTCTGGCTGCATATTGGCCCGATAGAATATCATCGCTTGCTGGAATGTATCCATCACTGTCAGTCATATTTCAATATTCTTAGACTACGGCCGACGCAATTCCAGATGATTGTGTGCCTTCGTTGGCAGCACTGAGACTTCTTCCAACCAGGGCTGATGCGGATCCATATGTGTGCGCTTCTTCGTTGGCAGCGCTCAAACTTCTTTCGACCAGGGCTGATGCGGATCCATATGTTTGTGTGTCTTCGTTGGCAGCGCTCAAACTTCTTCCGACCAGGGCCGATGCGATTCCAGATGTTTGTGTGCCTTCGTTGGCAGCGCTCAAACTTCTTCCGACCAGGGCCGATGCGATTCCAGATGTTTGTCTGTCTTCGTTGGCAGCACTGAGACTTCTTCCGACCAGGGCCGATGCGATTCCAGATGTTTGTGTGTCTTCGTTGGCAGCACTGAGACTTCTTCCGACCAGGGCCGATGCGATTCCAGATGTTTGTGTGCCTTCGTTGGCAGCGCTCAAACTTCTTCCGACCAAGGCCGATGCGATTCCAGATGTTTGTGTGTCTTCGTTGGCAGCACTCAGACTTCTTCCGACCAGGGCCGATGCGATTCCAGATGTTTGTGTGTCTTCGTTGGCAGCACTGAGACTTCTTCCGACCAGGGCCGATGCGATTCCAGATGTTTGTGTGTCTTCGTTGGCAGCACTGAGACTCCTTCCAACCAGGGCCGATGCGGATCCATACGTGTGCGCTTCTTCGTTGGCAGCACTGAGACTTCTTCCAACCAGGGCTGATGCGGATCCATGTGTGTGCGAATCTTCGTTGGCAGCGCTGAGACTTCTTCCGACCAGGGCTGATGCGGATCCATATGTGTGCGCTTCCTCGTTGGCAGCGCTCAAACTTCTTCCGACCAGGGCTGATGCGGATCCATATGTGTGCGCCTCTTCGTTGGCAGCGCTGAGACTTCTTCCAACCAGGGCCGATGCGATTCCAGATGTTTGCGCTTTTTCGTTGGCAGCGCTGAGACTTCTTCCGACCAGGGCTGATGCGGATCCATGTGTGTGCGCTTCTTCGTCGGCAGCGCTCAAACTTCTTCCAACCAGGGCTGATGCGGATCCATATGTGTGCGCCTCTTTGTTGGCAGCGCTGAGACTTCTTCCGACCAGGGCCGATGCGATTCCAGATGTTTTTGTGTCTTCGTTGGCAGCACTGAGACTTCTTCCAACCAGGGCTGATGCGGATCCATATGTGTGCGAATCTTCGTTGGCAGCTCTGAGACTTCTTCCGACCAGGGCTGATGCGGATCCATATGTGTGCGCCTCTTCGTTGGCAGTGCTGAGACTTCTTCCAACCAGGGCCGATGCGATTCCAGATGTTTGCGCTTTTCCGTTGGCAGCGCTGAGACTTCTTCCAACCAGGGCTGATGCGGACCCATATGTGTGCGAATCTTCGTTGGCAGCGCTGAGACTTCTTCCGACCAGGGCTGATGCGGATCCATATGTGTGCGCCTCTTCGTTGGCAGTGCTGAGACTTCTTCCAACCAGGGCCGATGCGATTCCAGATGTTTGCGCTTTTTCGTTGGCAGCGCTGAGACTTCTTCCGACCAGGGCTGATGCGATTCCAGATGTTTTTGTGTCTTCGTTGGCAGCACTGAGACTTCTACCAACCAGGGCTGATGCGGATCCATATGTGTGCACTTCCTCGTTGGCAGCGCTCAAACTTCTTCCGACCAGGGCTGATGCGATTCCAGATGTTTTCGTGTCTTCGTTGGCAGCACTGAGACTTCTTCCAACCAGGGCCGATGCGATTCCAGATGTTTGCGCTTTTTCGTTGGCAGCGCTGAGACTTCTTCCGACCAGGGCTGATGCAGTTCCAGATTTGTGCGGTCCTTCCGAAAGGTGCTTATCTAAATCTACAGAGTTAAGGTCTCTTTTGGTTAGTTTGAGTTCAGGTTCTGTGGAATCTGGCGGGTTAGCTGCAGCCTCGCGCTCATTCTTGAGGTCATCCTTGGTGCTTTCGTTTTTCATGTCATCTTTTGCATTGTTTTGCTTTGAGTCAGTTTTTTCTTTTTCTGAAGATTTGTCTTCCGTGACCTCGGGTTTCTCTTCGGGTGCTTCCTCGAGGTAAAACATGGGGGCATGTTTACCACTGATTCTTGAAGCGTGTCCTCGTCTTCTTGGCATGGACACCCTGACGCTCACGGAAATTTCAGGGATAGTCATTTCATCCATGTAATCAGAGTCCTCCTCTTTCAGGTCTTGCATTTTGAACTGTCCGGAAACCTCATCTTTCGAGGCTGGCCCTGATTTTTCTTCCTCCTTCACATCTTTAGAAGTTGGCTCAATGACGAACGTTGCTGGCATGGCAATTGCAAAGTGCGCCTGCAAAAATCGAACAAGTACTCTCAATCAGTTTTGTATGAGCCGGTAAATTTTAAAGGGATAAGTTTTGTATCCGTTTCACCCTGCTATTAAAGAAATTCTACAGTTTGTTTAAAGTTTTACCAGGTGATGGTTTCAGGGAAAATGTAAAAAAAAATCAGAAGGATACACCGAGAAAAAATATTTTTAGAATTTACCATTTCCTCACGCTGTATTTCACACAACGTCAATTCAGAATTAATCCTAATCGAAAAAAGGTAAACGTTACTTTAAACTGGTACAGGTAACCATTCCTCTGGCAAAATCGACTTTGAATTCACGCTGTGTAAAATACAGCGTGAAGGAATGGTAAATTCTACCAAGCTTTTTTCTCGGTGTAACATGCATGCAAGCGGTTTCATTGAGGGTACTGGTGAAGTAAACGTTTCAATATAAAAATTAGGCAAATTGTCATGGTAGAGTTTCTAAAACTACGTTTGGGGTTCCTGTAGCTGAAATGGTCTTTTTTTGCATGATTCATGGTACTTATTTAGTTTTTATTCATTTATATACTTATTTTTGGTTTTTTCGTCGAGTTATGATTTTAAAAGCAAATTAAAGGACGTCGTAAAAACAAAACATAAAAAAACATTTTAAAACACATCTATTTTCGTTTTAAAATTTGAATGGAAAACATTATGACCGGTAGTTTTATTTACATCGATCGCCAATGCACAAAACCACATATCTCCATTGCTATATTTAAAAATTTCTGCGCCTATTATAGTATTTTGAAGAGAAACGAGCCAACTTTAGAGCTTGGAATTCATTCAAAATATTCTG